GATGATAGACAGGACATGGCGGAATTATTTCATGCAATTCAGGGTGCTGGTACAACTACAAACACAAGGGTCTTATCAATTTTATGTCTTCGCTTCGCACTGCAGCTGTTACGGGACTTGTCGTCCCTTCACTTGATATCATAAAAAAAATTAAATGTACATTTTCTTTTTGTTTGTAATATTAAAGAGTACCTACACAATCTTTGAACGGACTTAAAAATTAAGGAAAAGTCCTTTTATAAGACTATTGTCCCATGTCATACACTAGCATTAATAACTTCCTTACACTTAACATCATAAACACATGAAGTATCCGAAAATAGTCGTCTATCCCCAGATGTTTTCCTGGTAGCTTTTTGTGTGTAGCAAAAACTACGTCGCCGTGGGAACTCTGGAATACTGAAAAAAATCTATGAAAAAGTCACGCAGATGTTGGCGAATATTTAGATTAAGTTCTTAAACCTTCACGTGTCAAGACAGGAAATGTTTTAGTTACAGACGCGTGCCACTTGCTCGCCTAACGGACTGTGAAATAGGCTTCTGTTTTTTTTTATGAAATCAACAATTTATGAGCGCATCCGACCCCTTTTGTTTTACAAGTACCACTTTGCTTGTGTTAACAATACCATTATTTATTTATCGACCGTAAAAACAACGTCCATTAATCTTGAACGCGATGTAGTATGTCACGATATAAGTTATCAGTCATCCACAAAATACCGAGTGAATTTAAAGATATTTTTTTCATTAAAAATAGGAACCAAAAATATTTTTCGTTTCATCAAATAGTTTTTGAAGCTTAATTAAGCAATAGATTCAAGTGAATTATCAGGAAATCAATATATAAAAAGATATTCTAATTATAAATTTAAGACCAATAATAAAAAAGAAGATTAAATATTATGTTTGAATACCAAATATTAATTTAGTATGCTTTAACATAATGATAGTGTTACCTTGAAGGCAATTAATTTATAATTTATCCGTAGATCAACTAATATAGACGGAACAATAATTAATATATAGGTATAACATATCAAAGATAAAAAAATACCGTGTATTTTAAAAAGTACAGATTTACAATAGATCTATTACCTACCTATGTCTTTGAGAATCAAATAATATAATCCCTTTTGAAAACACGCTTTGTAAAAGGCTACGTACTATATTGTTTTGTTATCTACATTTCTATTATCGTAATAAATAACAATTAGTAATAATTTCAGGGTCGGTAGACTGAAGAACATTAAGCACCTTTATAATAAAATTGACCTAATGCAAAAAATTAAGAAAATTAGTTTTTACCGTGAAACTATTTCAAACCCAATAGGTCTTAAGGTGGTTAATTTGGAACTGACTCATTATGGCTCCAATTTAATAGCAGTAGAGCCTGTAAAAGAGTTCGTCCAGGGTTGTACTGCCAGCTTACCTATTTCTGCCGCCAAGCAGTAATGCCAGCATTACTGTGTTCCGGTTTTGAAGGGTAAGGATGTTGGTGAAATTACAGGCACATGGGACTTGTCAACTTATGTCTCAGGGTGACGGATGCAGTGACAGTGCCCCTCAGATCTTTGCAATTTAAAGCTCTGAGTGGCACTGTAACTGTTACGGACAGACATGCAGCCATCGAGTATATAACCAGAAATAGGGACGAATTGCCATTTAATTTGTTTGAAAACTATTCTGCCAAATCATTGCGGTGACAACTGCGCTCCGATTGGCTAGTCAATTGTTTCACTTCAAATCGTCCAGTTTAACTTGAACTTTGCTATAATGGACGAAAATTGAAAAATTACATATTCAATATTTAATTACCGATGAAATGTGATTCCGTTTGCTTTGTAATTAGATGTTTTGCTGTTTTTCCCACACCACCGAATAGAACAGCACCCATTGTTAGAGATATTATCTTTATTACAATAAATACTCAATATTTTTGTAATACATGGAGACGTACACACAGGTCAGTTGTTGGCGCTGTACTATAGTTGCCAGGAATGGATGGCCCTTATTTCGTCTCTATTTCTGGTTATACACTCAATGAGTGTAGCTTACCAATAGGCACACGACTTGTTATTATTATGTTGAAATTCCACTCCTGTGGCGGTATGTAAACGCCGCAGGAGTGGAAAACACTAAATAGTATTGAATCTGTATAATACAAAGACAGCACGCCACCACCGTTGGTGATAAAGTGAGAGATTTCCAATGGAATCGATTTCGTTCCAAAAATCTACATTAATTTTTAACGAACGCCCTTTAGGTACTTTATTATTTAGAGAAACAAAACGGCTTAATCTTTAACAATTAAAGGTTTTTAGGCCAATCTGCTACGCGTAGACTCAAATATAAATAAAACTACAGTTTACATCACTTCGGCGGTTCTATATTAGTTTAACAAATAATTTTTATAACTAAATAAATTGAAGTCATAATAAAGGTTACAATTGTTAAAGAGAATTATCTAAATAGGATTTTGAAAACAAAAATTGTTGTTATAGGTTTATGAAAAACATGAGCAATGCATTTGTATTTTTAACAATTTTTATAATTTAAAGCACCGGACGAGGTGGCAGAGGATATTATGCGACACAGAGAGGAATGTGCGAATTGCGATTTATATCTTACTTCAAATGAAATAGAATAAAATTTGAATACCCATTGCCACGTCGTTCGTCGGTATGCGCTGTCCTGTAAGATTTAAACACCGTATTTTGTTTTTTTTATTATTTTCAATTTACCTTATAAAAATATTTTGCATTTCGTATTTCAAAAACAAGTCTTCAGCTAAATTTGAAAACCTCGTAACCCCGTTTCTGGACGTCCTTCAATTTTTACTCTTCATGAAAATTTGTAGACCCTTTTTTCGTTATAATATAAAATTATAATCATAGGTTGTCGTATTATTTTATATAATATATTTCTAGTAATTCTGTTTTTTGTGCGTATAGTCGTGTAATCCTAAAACTCGAATTCATATTTTAATTCTTAATAATAAATAACATACACACTCATAACCCCGCACTAGGGAAACCCTGAGTCGCGGGTGCCGTATAAATATTTTCCCGGCCCGTGAAAACCAGAAAAGAACCTGGGACTACATATAACATCACTATTATATAGAATCAAATTCACATTCAAAATACGTATAGTAATTAATATAAAGAATAAGTAGTTATCCGCTCATAAACTTGCCTGAACTACGAGTATCAGAACAAATTCATTCCTAGTCACTATCCAGGACAGCCAGACTCCAACCATGGACCACTAACTCAAGAGGACTGTTAATTTTCATATTACAGATCGTACCTCTAAAAAAGGTCAAAATTCTTATTAGTGTATATTATGTAAATGCAACGTGAGTATAAATTAATTCCTCTTTGATATGTAATATAAGAAGTCTATTTTTTATAATTATTAATACAAAGATCGAACACTCACAAAAAATTCCTTCGATCCGGCCTGATTCGAACCGACGTCTTCGAACATACCGTGCCAGACGCTATATCAACTAAGCCACGGAACGAACCAGCGGACCTCACAAATTTTTCTGTGTGCTTGCGTCGTATCTTTGTATTTGATTTTTCAACGACTATTTAGCCGTAGCGCCATCTATGAGAAATCTATGACGTTTCGTCACCCAGTTAGATACCTTTACAGCTACCATAGGGATAGAGATTTTTTCGGAATGTTTGACCTTTGTATTAATAATTATAACCAATTAGTGGAGTAATTTCACATAAAAATAATTGAATATCATAGGAAATGAAACTATTTTTCCGGATTTAAATCGCGTATATTTGTTTTTTTCAAACAAACCGAGGTTTCGGGCCCTTTACAGGTCCCATTGTCACGGTTGACCGTGACCATGGGACCTGTAAAGGGCCCGAAACGTCGGTTTGTGTAACAATCGCGAAACATCGGTTTGTGTAACAATCGCGAAAGCCTAAGAAATTAAATAAAAATTTAAAAAAATCTGTTTTTCTAAAATAGCTTTTAAAATATTGACCATGAACTAAACTATTTTCTGAACTTTGTCAAATTGACAAATATGTGTGTCAATAGATGGCATTGTGTGGTTAAAACGAATTTATAAAACAATGCATTCTAATATGGATAGATGGCACTAATCCCAAACAAAATAAAAGAAAAGCCGGCACTGTCCATTAAAATATGTGCAATAAGCTCCATCTATTTGATTTGATTGTTACCTTTGGTAATGTAAAACAAATTTAGTCGCAAAAATAGCTATTTGGTACTCGTCACGACATCTGTTGTACCGTCAGGTACTAAATACCCAACTACGCCATCTTGTATCGCGATTAACAGTCTTCTTGAGTTAGCGGTCCATGCTAAAACCAATTTAGAAAACAGTTCTTTCCGCAAATCGGGCCTGCTCGGGCCATCGAGGTCGTTAATTCAAATTTACTTCACAGGTAAACAAATTACTCTTAGCGCTTTTGCGAACTGCATCGGATTCGTATTCGTCCCGCATCCGAGGAATGATAGTCCGTAATGGATCACAGAGATCATTTTATCTCTAGGTGTTTGTACACTATTTCCTATATATATTACTATTTTTACTACTTTTACTATTTGTACACTATTTCCTGTATATATATTTTATTAATCGTTCAATATATAAACATTGCTCATTCGTCCATATTTAAACCTTTACAATATTCATTTATATAAATGTCTTAAATTTATTCGTGTATTTTTTGTCATGAAACCGTTCACATAAAGTTTTTGCTTCATTATAATTATAAATGGCAAATTTTGATTATTAATAGAAATCTATTTATAGAAACCATTGACTTACAAATAAATGAACGACGGGTCTAATACAAAAACCACGAAAAAAATGTCCCAAGTCAACCTATTTAAACGTAGTGACATGTAAAGGAATATGAAAAAGCTTTTAAATTGTAATGTCATCGCAGTACTGTCTAATTTTGCTTGCTTCGCTGTCAGTCAAACAAACGAAGACTAAAGCGTGAATGACGCTCTGTATACGATTTTAACGCCCTATAAGTTCGGACACTTTTTAGCGCGGACCCGACGTCCATATAATTGTAAGTCAATGATAGAAACGTTCAAGTTACCTCTACAGATGATTTGTGACTTTGTGTCAAAAACAGGTTGGTTATCACATTAATCTTACCGAAATTACATTTACTTAAAAACATCTGGCCGAATCGCGCCCATGTAGTTTCAATAAAGTATTCATATCTTGCATCATATATTTCATCCTCACAAATGTGACGCCACCTTATGTAAAATCAATTATTTCAATTAAACAATAAACCATTTCGTAATAATATTTATGACAAAAGCGATATCAATTGCTTGTAATCAATGACCTTATAGTAAACATGTTAATGTATCGAACTAGACACTGTTAATATATCTGTGCTACATATTTAGTTTAATAGGTTAAGTAAATCGATAACTGGAAAATCAATCCTACGATAGACAACAAGGGGTCACATTTCAATTACCTCCTTGTAAAGTCACCGCGCAAAATCTTACGCAATATGAATAATACAGATAAAGAGATCCATTACCTTATCACTGTGATATCTAGAAATAACCGATTTAATTATCAGACAAACGGAGTGTTAGCTTCAACATCTTTCGTCGTGTCTTTAGTCTTCCCTTTCTTTCCATATCTAAAGTATTCTTCAATTTGCATCAACGTCTTACCTTTAGTTTCAGGTAAATAGAAAAACAAGTAAACTGTACCAATTAAAGTCGACAAACCGTAAAATAAATAAGCGCCTTTGTGTCCAATACTCTGAAACATTCCAGGCGCTGTTTTGATCGTTGCAAAATATGATATTGACGTCATCATTACGCTTATACCAGACCCCAAACCTTTTGTTTCAGTTGCGAATAATTCACCAACCATGTTCCAAGGCAGTGGTACCACACCTAAATTGGACACAATCATATAAATCGTCATTAAGCCTAAAGTAACAATAGGTGAAAGATTCTTGTCGCCGACTGAATACAAATAAACAGCTAAAACTATTAAGGACAGAGACGTAAAAATTCCACTGATCATTGCCATTGGTCGTCGACCTTTACTTTTAAGTAGCACGCAAGCCCCGAACAAAGATAAGCATCGCAAAACATCTATGCTCAACATCGCAGTGTAAGAGTTCCTGTTGTTACCAATCAGTTCTGACATCATCTCCGGCGTATACGCACTTATTACGTTCACACCTGAAAGCTGCGTCATTATGAAGAACATCGTCATTATCACTAGAGGTTTGTAAAATTCCGGCTTCTTTATGTTTGCCTTTAGTGTGGTTATTTTGCTTTTGGTTTGGTCTTTATTCGCCTGTGCAGCTACCATTTTGTCTAATTCTACTATTGTATTAGGAGTTATTCCCCTGAACCATTTAAAAGAATTTATACACTCTTCTATTCTGTTCTGAGCTGCTAACCATGCTGGAGACTCCGGTGCAAAGTACAAAATAATACCTCCCGTAAATGGGAAGAGTCCGCATAGTAAAGAAGCATAGCTCCAATGAAGAATGGTACCGAAAAGATGCGACATAAGTACACCAAACGCAATGGCCAACGACAGAGATGCTAAGAAGAATCCTCTGTACTTTGGAGTACTTATTTCTCCAACGAATACTGGCCCTAGAGGACCGAGCCAGCCTTGACAGAGACCGGTGATAAATCTCCCTAATAGTATAAAGTAAATATTCTGTGCGAATCCTATGACTGCCCATCCACTGGTAAAAAATACAGACATCACAACTTGTGATGTTCGTCTTCCTAGTTTTTCCATCAAATATCCGGATATCAGGTTACCGAATACCAATGCGAACGATGCCATGGCAGCTGAAAAGCAATAAATAAATGAGTTACAAAGTCATGAATACGCTATTATTTCGTGCCCTTACTAAAGGAACATGTGGTGATTATATGCAAAGGTGTTTTATCACATACAAGTCATAAAAATAATACGCACTACAGTTAACAGTGAATATATATATGAATATTATAACTCTCGTATTTAGCATAAAAATTTATAATATTGTTTTATTTAATACCACAATGTTTTACTATCATGATATTCAATTATTTTTTGTAAAATAACTCCACTAGTTTGTTATGTTTGTTAATACAAAGTTCAAATACAAAAAAAAATTCCTTCGGTCTGACACTGTCAGGGCTCGAAACTGAGTCTGTACGCTTTCTCAGTGAAAACAAAACAGACTCTGTGTGTTTGTGTAGTTGGAACTAATTTCATTCATGGAATTTTTAAACCACTTTCCTGAAAAGTTGTCATTTTGCAGATGTGGCCTTATTACACCAATTGCACAATATAATATATAATAGTATATATATCAATGGACTAAAATGAGCCAACCCGAGATGGTTAGGCACCCGAGTCTATTGCTACGAGAGAGGGTTTATATTGGGTTTAAAGTCTCGAGGTGAAAACTTTACTTTTCACTTGGACTGTGAGACAAATTTCAATCATTTTCGCTCTACAACAAAATTACAAAGTACTTTTTTTCCAACCAGACACATACAACAAACGCGAGAAAATAATATAGCGTCTCCGCGGACAGTCATGGAACTAAAAACAGAGCGTAGTACTATTTGTTTGAGTTTGTTTACTGGAAGTAAATTAAAAAATTAGGAACTTTTTACTCCTTAGGGATCAAAGGATGCACTTCACTCTCGCTACGTAAGTACGTAGTAGTAAGTACGTATATTGACGTAGAACACGTAAAAAAAAATTATCACTGTTTTTATCGTATCTCTGTAAATAATTATATAAATCATAACAATTTAAAACAAGTGTGCTATTGTCGTCGAGTGCTGACTTCATTTATATATGCGACCTTACAGCCTCTGATAAAGAACTGATCTCATAACCTAATCATCGCAAATAACGGAATATTTTGTAACTGACTAGTTTTGTAAACACTTACGCATAAAAAAAAACACAAAATTAATCATCATTATAACATTTCTACTTAAGAGTACTTACACAATGTTTTCTGTATGTTGGTTTTGATTAAACGGATTCTGGTAAATAATTACCCGCTAAATAACTACCTACTAGGCATAGGTAAAAGAAGTACAACAGTAATAACTAATAAATTTTAGTTTAGTTAGTTTGTTTGAAAAAAAACAATAGCTCAATAGGCAGAGCGCAGCCCGGGTTCGGCGTGGTAACAGGTTCATGTTCTGTCAGGTCGAAGGAAATTTTCTTTATATTCGATCTTTGTATTAATAACTATAACAACACTATTACAAACTAGTTGAGATATTCCGCAAAAATTCATGAATATTATAATTGATATCTTGATATTCAATAAAATAATCAAAACAACAATAGGTTGATAAATAATTCAATGTAAATGAAAATATGCCTTAGCGCTTTTGCGCATCCGCTGCATCCGTATTCGTTCCGAAACCGAGACAACACAAATCTAGAAAACTTGGACCCACTTCGGATATCACTTGTGCACTAAGTCAGATTCTAATCAGAGAAAATACAAATATCGCTAGTACACCTAGAGTTAAAATAATGCCTGTGACATTTCGGACTGTCATTTCTCGGATTCGGAACTGGGGGTCTACTCTCGATCTCCGTCCGAAATCCGTCCGAAACAATTACTGCCAAATAAGCAATACTTGACCAAATGAAAAGACGCGTGATGCGAATAAAGCTTCATACTTGATACTTGTCTTTTAATTTTGTCGAATATTACTTATTTGACAGTAATTGTTTCGGACGGATGTCAGACGGGGATCGAGAGTAGACCCCCTGATACGAATCGGACGTAGTGCATTAACGCTCTTAGGCTGACGAGGCGTATTCAACACTGTTGTAAATAATATCTAAATAACAATGTAGCACGTACCTACCCACGATACCATTTCTGTAGAAATCTTCTGTTGACCATTCTCTTCCTGTAGTTGTGGTATGAGTATGGCTGAGAATCCTGCTGTTGTACCAGCTCCTGTGGTCAACAGGAAGGTGCCGAATGACATCAGTAACTGGAACCAAAAAATTGTCGAAGTTAATACGAAGATAATTAGCAGACTACCTAAATTTTACTGTATGTGGTATTTAGACCTATCTGAAGTAGTTACTTTTATAGAGCATTTTCGTAGCAGTAGAGCTAGCTCCTTGTGACAAAGTTCGTCCATGGTTCGTCTGTCGCCAAGCAGTAATGTGAACATTACTGTGTCCCGGTTTCGAAGGGTAAGGGTGCTGGTGAAATTACAAACACATGGGACTTGTCAACTTATATCTCTAGGTGTCGGGCGCAGTGGCAGTGCCTCTCAGTTCTTTGTGATTTAAAGGTCTGAGTGACACTGCAACTGTTAGGGACAGGCGTGACGCTTATCATTAGGCACACGACTTATTCATCCCGTCACTTAATATTATAAAAAAAATTACAATGCCTTGTTAATTAAGAATGTAATAAAAACTTTTTTCACAAGTAGACTATTACATGACCTATTAGTTCATTTATTTTTGTTCAAAATAAGAATCATTGCGATCGCATTTTGTCTTCCAATTCTTGAAAAGATTTTTATAGTAAGTTTGTTTTTTTAAATCGTTTAGATCATAACAAATTATTCGGGTTTGTCTTATTTACAATAATAATTTAATAAATGCCTATCTAAGTTAATAAGATACTTCTGCACTAAACCGGTTTCAAAAGGTAAATTCGTAACACCTACCAATTAAGTACGTAGGTACTGTGGTGCGTTCGTAAATCGATTAAATATATACTTGAAATTTTCTTTTCATCATATTTACTATTTAATAATTTGCTTTTAAATTTAAGTTTAATATTATAAATAAACATAAACCTAAGAAAACATCACATACGTTGCTCTGTAGGGCTAGCACGACAGGGCGCAACATACGCGAGAGCGACATGAAATGCGAGATCTCTCTGCGACAAGAGCAGTATATCGCGCTTTATGTCGCTCTCGCTCAACTCACGCCCTGTCGTGCTAGCCCTACTGATCCCAAAGTTAGTAACTAAAGCACTAGTGTTATGAAAAATCGGAACACAACGACGGTACCACAAACACCCAGACCCCGAGACAATACAGAAAAGTTAGTTTTTCTACATTTAACCAGCCGGGAATCGAACCCAGGGAATCGAAGCCACACGGAGTCAAACGTTGTAAAAAAATTTGACAACGTTCCTTAGCAGTCCAATTACACTATGTAATACGATTTTTGTTGTCAATATATTGTTTTTTAAATTAATTATATCACAAACACATGAGAAAACTTTATTTCCCTGCAAAAACTTTGCATATGTGATCAGATCAATGAAAATTTGAAATTAGCATACCTTTTAGGACAAAATACAAATTTTCGTGTTTTTCTTTATTTAGATACAAAAAGGAACATTATATTTCAAGTCAATAATATATTTCAAACAAAATTTTACTAAGGACCTGTGAGAAGTGTGAGAGAAATGTGTAAGTTTTGCGACATTATTTAAATACCAGTATGTAGCTTACACACTGCCAGCTATGTAAATACCATTGTAAAAGCTAGAAAAGTAAAGATTCAGGGATATAGATGGGCCGTCGGGTCATGAACTGTTAGCGCGTTTGTGCACTGCATCCGATTCGTATTCTTTCCGAATCCGAGACTGTACAAATCTAGAAAACTCGAACCCACTTCGGATGTCGCTTGTGCACTAAGTACAATACAAATTCAAGAAAATATGAATGTCGCTTGTACACATATCGGACCGTCATTTCTCGGATTCGGAATTAATACAAATCGGACGTGGTGTGCTCTTAGGAACGCATTCTAATTTAATTTAAGCTTATTTTAGTAATTGGTAGTAAGTAGCAAATAACATAAAAATGGTCGTTTGACATTGTCCTTGTATACCATTGACTTACAAATAAATTGTATACATTTTTTTTTGCATTAAAGAGAATATGTTAAAACTTGTGAATTGCACGAGCCCATAAATTAACTCGTCTCAAATTAAGAGCGGTTACACACGGAGACCTTTAGTAGCGATGCAAACGCGATGAAATAGCGACCCACGTTAACATATGCGCGCGATTTTAAGCAGCGATGCAAGCGCACAACTGCATCGATACAAACGCGCAATTGCATCGCTACACATGGGATTAATAGGCGATTGCATCGATACAGTCGCGCGTTTGTATTGATGCATTCGCCTATAGCGTTAGCATCGCTGTTAAACGTCGCCGTGTGTAACCACTGTAAGATCCTTTGTTTCAGTATCTTAGGACGTGTTCAAATTAGCCACTGTTAGACGCGCTGCAGCCGCGCGGCGTCCGCGCGACTATAACTTTTCATACAATTTTTAGAAGCATTGCAACCGCGCAGCGGCCGGCCGGCGGCCGCCAGTTGTTCCAGTCGACTTGACAATTTTGAAACTAATTACTACAACTGAATAGAACATAGCAGGTGAGTCATTTTAATGCCTATATGTGAAGTGTGTGTCCTAAGAACTCTAACCTCCCCCTAACTATATATCTTTTGGTTCTGAATGTAAGTGTGAAGAATAGTGTTAAAACGTAAAAATCCCATAAAAACCCGTAAACAAGGCAAAAACTATATACAAATATTTTTTGTAAATCGAGTTTTGTAACTGAGACGAAAGATAAAACAACACAAAAATCTTGGTCGCACTTAAGCAGCGCGGCAGTCGCGCGGCCGCCGCGCGTGTGCAGTGCAGCCACCGCGCGGCTACAGCGCTTCTAACAGCGGCTAATTTGAACGCGCCCTAAATGGGGACATCAGTACTCGAAAATCTTACTGAACCTACTAGTGCCATCAAGAATGTAACCAACAGTCCTAAAGGTTTCTAAACACTTGGTGCCCAATACCATCAAATTAGAAACAGAGCCTTTTCAAAAAAAAATATTACACTGTGTTATTAGCACTCGTGTAGATGACAATTTCCTAAATTAAAAGTTTTGATTTTGGTGTTCTAAGTAGGCACTGGATTGATACTGGGAATTCCTTAATGTGAGTACAGATAATTTGTGTGATTATCTCGCACATTTCCATTACCACATAAGTAAAAAATGTTGATACATACAAAGTATAATTAGTAAAAAGGTGCTTATTATCAAGGGGCTAAAGGAATTTCTTGATATTGACCATTGACTTATATTGAATTATATGGACGTCGGGTCTGCGCTAAAAGGTGTCCGAACTTATAGGGCGTTAAAATCGTACACAGAGCGTCATTCACGCTTTAGTCTTCGTTTGTTCGACTGACAGCGAAGCAAGCAAAATTAAATAGTACTGCGATGACATTACAATTTAAATTCAACGTTTTAGCTTTTTCATATACCTTTACATGTCACTACGTTTAAATAGGTTGACTTGGGACATTTTTTTCGTGGTTTTTGTATTAGACCCGTCGTCCATTTATTTGTAAGTCAATGATATTGACAAAGAAAAATACACAACAGTTCTTTGAAATCATTTTAGAACGGTTTTGTATACTTAAATATACAAATTATCACTTTAGAATTTAATAGCGTTGTGTTTATACGCTGCCTTATAGGTGTTTACGACGTAAAGTTAAACTCGACGTACAATACCTGTTTGCAAAGCGCGGAACCTTCGCAAGGACACAAACAATCGCTAAAATTGCTAAATATAACAAAAATATCATTATAATAAGTATCTATATGGAAAATTAATGCAACCACAAATGTTTTGGATAATCTTGAGCAGGTTTTTTACAATACGAAGTAATGGAACGAACAAATGTTGAGCGAAACGATTGTCTATAACAGTCGCAATGCCTCTCGGAGCTTTAAATCACAAAGATCGGAGACATAATTTGCCAAGTCTCATGTGTCTGTAATTTCACCAACACCCTTACCCTCCAAAATCGAAACGCAGTAATGTTCACATTACTGTTTGGCAGCAAGAACAGATAAAGTGGCACGCAGTACCTCACTGGATTAACTCTTTCACAAATAGCTCTACTGCTACTAGATAAGTTTTCTGAGTGCTGTGTACAATAATTCTAATCAAAATGCAAATTTACTGATTTTTTTATTAATATTCTTTTTTCAAATAGTGTTAGTATACAGTACATGTAGTGTTAGGATGTAGCTAAAAACTTAAAAATGGGAAAAAAGTAATAAACAAAAAAAACGCGAATAAATAATTACACAAGGGAAATAATAACTTGTTTTAAACAAAAATATCTTAATAAAGTCTATAATTAGTCTGATGTAATATAAATCTATAAAAATATACAATAAGAGTAGTAATGGAAATGTGCGAGATAATCACACGAATTATCTGTACTCACATTAAGGAATTCCCAGTATCAATCCAGTGCCTACTTAGAACACCAAAATCAAAACCAATTTAGGAAATTGTCATCTACACGAGTGAGTCTTAAATAATAATAATAAAGGTAAATAAAATAATGAATTATATACTAATTATTATTATTTTTAAATCACATATTTTTTATTAATTTAAAAATTCGTCCCGAGTCAAATTAGAGGGATCTTTTCATTAATCCGGAATCTATCTTTCTGAAGTATATGCATAGCATCATATATTATATTACTATTAACCTGTCATACTGACTATTTTTAAATATAGTAAATTTATAATTGTGTCTTCTTAATTATTTCTTAAAATCTTTTGATTGTGATTCCCACTGAAAAAGATAAATTGTGGGATTTGCCTTGATTTATGGTTTTATTGTTCGTGACTGTCATTTACATAAATCCTTGAAAGTTTAAAGTACCTCATAAATTGCAATGCTAAAATCTTGTTTTTACCTACATTAACGACTGCAATGTATCGGCTCTAAAGATTAATACATTCATTAATTGGCTAAAAAAGAAACATAGAATGTATATGCGATAATATTGCATTTTAATCCAACTGGGTCAGAAGGACCCATGTTTTTCCAGTGTATGTAATGTAAGTATGTCCATATGTATGTCACGCTGTACAGCCTGAACGGCTTGATGGATTTTGACACATAACATGTCGTTAGATTTGTTTTGATTGTGGGAGTGTCATAAGCTATAAAGAATTAATCAAGATAGTTAGGGAGGGATGTTATTTTTTTTGTGTTATTGTATTACGCTGGCTAAACCAAAAGAGGTACATCAAATTAATGTACGACAGAATTGTAGGTCAGAAAAAGATCTACAAAAAAGTCCTAGAAAGCATTTATCTATCTGCGAAGGCTAACGAACGATAACGATTTTCATGTTTCAAAATTTAACATCACAAAATTACTTATGTTCTTTAAAAAATGTGCCAAAGTCAAAACATTTATTGCATTCATGTTGCTACACTCATAGGTCTTTCGCACTCTGTAGTTTAAAAAAATATATCAATATAAACGAGTGTATCCTATAATTTTTCTTAGATTTCGATATTTGTATTGATAAATAATTATAACATACTTACTAGTAGAATAATTTCACAAAGTGTAATTGGACTTCATGGTAATAAAACATTGTAATATTCAATAAACGTCATATTAATTATATCAATATAATTACGAGTAAGTAAGTAAGTCCACACCTATCTATTTAAAAAAAACCATGACACATAAATCACACACCTGTCTCCGAAACGGCGCTCTAGGATTGGCACTCGACTCTTCTTCCTTGTCACAATAAAACATTTCACTCTCTTCTCCATTGTTGTTAATTTTCTCTAATTCACCCAATTTCTTGACACTCATGGCTGAAGTCACCAACAACACTGAGTCACATGGGACCGAAACAACTGCTTTATGAAGCAATCGCTACACTACTTCGGACACTATCTTATCATTACGTATTTGTCACATGTGAACTGAATAATTGTTTACATTTGTTATATAAAACTACATAAAACAGATCACAGATCTCGCCAAAAACTTTAACTCGACTGTACAGTAATAATAAGCTATGTTGCTCTGCCGAAGTCGTCACCACAACTGCTTTTAAGCGGATTGTACATATTAATATACACTCCCGGACAAATAATTCGAGCCACCTCGCATCAGTATTAAATGCCCTAAGCTTAAATAATGTTGGGTTAATGAAGAACTATCGTACGCAATTTTGAAACTAGTATATTAAAAGTCTTCTCCATAAGTCCTTGTTGGAAATTTGGACTTGCGAAACCGGGGGAAACCTTTTTCTTCAATGACAACACTGTTTTTGTATTCTAGCCCTTTAAGGCAAAAACGGCTCGAATTATGTGTCCGGGGGTATATTATGTTATCAAATTGGTTATTATATGTTTAAACTACTACGCATATACATAATATATAACGTTACAAAATTATTACCTTTGGATTTTATTGAATACCATGATGTTTTGACTGCCATGATATTCACATTTTTTAGTTATTTTTTTATGATGCTAAGTGACAGGACCTGGTGTTAAGCGACATGCAGTTGCAGTGCCAATCAGAGCTTTAACTCGTAACAATCTGAGGGATCTGATACTGCGCTTCTCACCCTGAGATATAAGTTGAGAAGTCCCAAGTGCCTGGAATTTTACCAGCACCTTTACCCTTCCAAACCGAAAAACAGTAATGCTCATGTTACTGCTTGGTGACAGAAATAGGTGGCATAAGTTCCCTGGATAAACTTTTTCCCTAAGAACCCCACTGCTACTAAAAAGTGAAAATACTCCTCTAGTTTGTTATGAATTTTAAAATAAAAATGGAACACAAAGAAAAATGCAAGGACAATCTACCAACTGAGCTAACAGATCGAGTCATCAGACTCACAAATTTCTCTTGGCGTTTGTTACAGATCTGTGTTTGTTTTAACGGCTCGTTTGCCTAGCGCCAGCTGTGAGAAATCTATGAAAGTTTTTCATCATTCTACCAGGTCATTTTACAGCTACCGTAGGTTGTAGTTGATAAAAGGTGTCGGTTTTTATTAATTTTACTGGATGCCACAATGTTTTATTACCATGATATTTAATTATTTTTGTGAAATTACGCCACTTGTTTGTTATAATTATTAGTACAAAGAATGAACCCGGGTCACCGCTCTTACCAATTGAGTCCTGTAGCTCGGTTTCTCTATGTGCTTGTTGTCAGCGCCATCTATGATACACTTATGAAAATATCTTCACTGCTTTAGAATGTCCAATTAAGCAAAAAAAAAGGAATTTCCTTTTCACACGAATCTGTCGTAGCTATCATACAAAACGCATGAATATTTATTTACCCAAAAGTATTATAAGATGCTTAGATCGAAAACAAACAGAGACTTAATGAAAAAAGATTGACGGGACCGGAGTCGAGAGCGAGCTGACAAGTTGGCAAGGGCCGACCAAGGCGATATTTCCGTGAGCCCATTGAGAACATCCTAAAGAAAAACCAGGTCATGAACACTCTTAACCGATGAGCATGTATTATACAGCTTCTGCGTACTTGGATAACAAAAATCCATCGTAGAGTCCTATTTAGCCCTTCCAGGTTGTCTTGATCTATGATATTTGAAATTAATATTCTACATGACAAATGTACAAAGAACAATCTCCAAAGTTTCTAACTCATTCTTCTCAGGGCAATCTGCCTTACGAATGAGTAAGTATTTTTATGGAGTGTAATTTACTTATCTTTGAGATGAAAATTATTTGAGTCTGACTTTGTATAAAAGTACTAATGCGTATCCGTAATGCAAAAGAAGTGTGTCGGGATCCTACAAAAAAATAGTTTTACTAGCAGTAGAGCTCCTTGTGAAGAAGTTCGTCCTACCTAGTTCTGCCCCCAAGGCAGTAATGTCAGCATTACTGTGTTCCGGTTGTGAAGTGCAAGGGCGCTGGTGAAATTACAGGCACATAGGATTTGTCAACTTATGTCTCAGAGTGACCGGCGCAGTGGCAGTACCCCTCAGATCTTTGCGATTTAAAGCTCAACTACCCATAAAGCAACTTTCAAATAATAATTATCATTGACAAGCCTTAGCAAGTGCTTAATTGTAAATTGTTCAATAACACATCCCGTAATTTGCGAGTAAGTATTGTACAACAACATAATTAAACAGTTGCTAGTATATCCGAAATCTTATCTTACTAAATATATACAATATTAATTGCTGTAACAAATTTATGTGAGATATTGTTGAATTACACGTTAATTTTAAATATTACGTAACTAGAGAAGGCGCTTACACAAACTTACAATATCGTTGCATTTCATTTTTATGTGCTCATAAAAATTATCTCTTTATAAACTGTAGTTGTTTTTTAAAATATGTACATTGCCTAAAGTAAAGGTCTTACCAAGTCATGGACTACACAGACTTTTCATTTCTTGCGTAATCTTTTTATTTAACTTTATTAGTTATTATTAATGTATTTGGACTCGTTAAAATTTACGCTTCTTTGAAAGTATTTCGTCACCCAGTTAGATACCTTTACAGCTACCAGCCCCGGCTGGAGATGTCGCTATTCAGTGTATTTACACGGCTATTCATAGCATTTACATTTTTATTGAATTGGTATTCAATTATTTTTTTATGCGAAATTACTCCACTAGTTTGTTATAATTATTAATACAAAGATCGAACACTCAGAAAAAATTCCTTCGATCCGGCCGGATTCGAACCGACGTCTTCTAGCATACCGTGGCAGACGCTATACCAACTGAGCCACGGAACCGAATTACGGAATTTACGCTTCTTACCAACGATTTTTCGAAATTTTTTCTTTGGACAGCCAGGCCAGTTGTTTTTAATTTTGTATAAGTTGTATGTCGTACGTTGCACCATACGCAAACGCGATTAGCGGGCTCTAGACAGACACTCTATCGCGTTTGAAGGAAAAGGGAAAGACCACGCATTTGTGCTCAACAGTCTCGAGCAGTATCGCGCACTCCAACACGCGCCAGTTTCACGCGTCCTATCCTGCGCCATTAGCCTTTACACGGACGCTCTTTCCCTTGTAACAAAAACGAACACGAGCAATCGCCCACCACAACCTCTAATACAATATTACTTTAACCTTACATTGACTTTTCGTACCATGACGCGCTTAAAGTAAGCTTATTATAATGTTAGAACTATGATGTTTTATTGGCAGCTTTGTGACTATTCATTCACTCAGTTCGTACTATGACGCGACTTTAACATTAAAGTAATATTGTTCTTATGTTAAATTTAGCAATCTTAAAACATTTACTCTGACGCAATGGAAACAATATTATTTTCGAATTTATTGTCTAAATATATTGATTTATAATGATTTAATTTATGATGAGTTAAGTTGAACTTATTTATTTACATTAATCTCTTCAATATTTTATTTATTTATTTTTATTTAATAGTAACATCGGAAATCATTTCTCGTTAAATAAAAATACGCGTTGTTTATTTCGTAAAATTGTGACAGCGACATGTACATATATGCTCCTTGGCGACATTAATGTCCACTTGCACTAAACCTAGTTACGTCTTAAACCAATAATTGCCATGCAAAAGACACTCTTAATACATTGTATTAAGAGTGTCTTATCAATTTAAGCATTAGTTTAAGACATACTTAAGTTTAGTGCAAGTGGACATTACTCTCTATTATACTATATAACTGACACTAGACGATAATTCCGAGTTCACGACGTGACAATCAAGACTCAGCTTGTTTTATTTATTTTTCTTCATGAAAATGCGGAAAATAGTTGAAAACAACGTTATTTTAATAGATTTCATTATTACATGCTTTTCTTTTTTTGGCAGTTAAAATTCTCGGAATGTAAATAATATTAAGTACTTTAACATTATACTACGATAGGACGATTCGGAACATCAAAAAAGAAAGAGATGGCATTACACGGTTCATATAGCGTTATTTCTTTCCTATTTTTAGTAAGGAATAGACAATATTAGGAAATCATTCGTTCTTTCAGTCACTTTAGCAATAATACATTACTGTTTGTGAATCTTACCGCTCCTAGACATCGCGAATCTTTGGCACTCTTAGCTACGAGTCGTTGCTGCTTCTAGCTAGCTGCTCGTGATTCTTTGCCGCTTCCAGCTAGCTATTCGCAAACATTTGCTCGTCCTAGCTAACTTCCAATATTTTATCCATTAATTGGGCTATTATTAACGTTTCACATCAACATTCTTGTTTCATTTAAAATACAGTGAACAGCGACATCTCTCGCCAGGACTGGTAGCTGTAAAGGTACTAACTGGGTGATAAATATTTCATAGATTTCTCATATATAGCGCTACGACTAAAAAGTCGTTGAAAAACCAAATACAAAGACACGACGCGCACTTAAAAATTCGTGAGGTCCGCTGGTTCGTTCCGTGGCTTAGTTGGTATAGCGTCTGGCACGGTAAGCTAGAAGATATCGGTTCGAATCCGGCCGGATCGAAGGCATTTTTTCTGAGTGTTCGATAACAAACTAGTGGAGTAATTTCACAAAAAATAATTGAATATCAATTCAATAAAAATTTAAAACATTCTTGTTGTTAGTAAAAAACTTCTTTTAAATTCTTCAATATGACGCGAGTGTAAATCTAAACTTTAATGCCTTTATCAATATGTCGCTGCGTGTTGACATTGTCATAAATATTATTACAAAATCTATCGTCATCTTTACTTTGTTGTAAATTACTATCTGTAAACCGTGGCGCATTAAAGCTCGACATAAATCTTTGGATTTACTGTATTGTAATGATTTATTATATAATTGTGTTAATGTAATATCGCTGATAAATATGTAAAATTGAAGGTATGAACGATAAGGTTTCCGTGAATGTATCTAAAATTATCTAAAATGGTAGTGGCACTTGCTGCGTAGAAATCATATATATCAGCTTCTATATCTTGCACTACACAATTTGATTTCAGATATTGTTTATCTTAACTATCTTTGTTTGATTCACTAGGTACA